TCACGGACGCGTCGAAGTCTCCGGGCGTAAAGCCGGCCAGAGAGTCCCGCCAGCTCCACGCACCGTCCTCGGATGCCTTTCGCAGGCCTAAAGGTATGTGTTGATGATGCAAAAACACACGTGCATCTCATTTTGGGAAATGTAACGTTAAGCGTGTTGAGATTACCATGATGAAGTCACAAATTTTGCGTACGTTGGTAGAGGTCAACCATCCAGCCTTCGTCGAACACGGTTGCAATAGGCCCCCCTTCCACGGTCGCGGAAAAAGGTACACCAGCTGGCACGTTGCCATGTGGGTTAGGCTCGGGGTTTACCGAGACAACATTCCTTGCATAATCAGCTGTGCAACATTATACCTACGCCTACACGCAGCTTTGGGTTGCTTGCTTTGGGGGCAGCGAACGAAAGCGGTGAGAGCGGGTGAATAGGTTCGACGCCGGAACCCCCATGTTCTTTGTGGCGTATTATGCAGATCAGGGCGGAGGAGGAGGACAAAAGCTGGGTACTTGTGCTCTCGATTGCGAGTCACATCACTCCACGCCATCCTGGTACACTGTAGGCACGACAGCGTTCGTATGAGGTGCAAGGCTCTCCAGGGGCACGAAGTCTTGCCTGGAGCACCGCCCGGAAGAAGGAAAAGCTCACCTGTGTACGCTTCGCCAAGGAAGCCAATCCACAGCAGGTTGTGAGTGACGAAGTCATTCTCGGCCTCGCTTTCTAGGCTCACGAGCCTCGCATCCATTTCCTTACACCTGCAATAGTGCCAACGTCGTCGCCTCCGTTTGTCAAGAAAAACCGACGTGAACGACACAGCGATTAACAGCCACATAAATTCTCGTGAATGCCAATTCTTGCCGGACTATGGGCCACCAAACAAAACAACTACGGCGATCGGGCGACCTTGCCAGGAGAGACCATCATCTGTTCTCTTGGAACCTCTGTCTACTCACCTAGCGTCCGCATCCTCCCAGTTAACTGCAGCGTCCAAGTATGAGCTCTTGGAGTAGCAGCTGTTCTCAAACGCGAGCCACGTGCTGCCGCTGTCGTCATTGTCGTCATTGTCGTCGTTATCGTCGTTGCCGTCGTCGTTGTCACGGCAATCGGCTGATAGCACCTCCTGGTAGGACACAACGCCCCCTGGCGGAGTCCCGTATAAATCAGAGACGGATTCGGGGCAAGGGTCTAGCTCCATCTCGAGGAACTCGCTGAACACCGAGGAATTCCACTGTGCCGCCGGCGGGTCATCGGTTGCGGTTGTGGTGGTGGTGGTGGTCTGTGGTGTTGGTTCACCCGTTTGGGACGATAACAATCAGCATGATGACACACAACTACTTTGGAGCGCCAGGGGATGAGGAAGATATACTCGAGGGGGTAGAAGAAGTAATCTCCTAGACCATATGGACGCTCAAATTCTACGCAATAGGGAGGGTTGCGATACCGAGAATGTTGGCTTTGGGAGGATCTCTGCGGAAGTCGCACTTCCGTATTGTGTTGGTCGGCTTTGCCACCCCCAGGACCTACCCCTATCATCTGGTGCCTAACAACGTGCGAGAACACACGTCATCACCGGATTCAGAAGCGGGGAAAACCCTGCCACAGAAAGAAGCGATTGGACTGCAAACTAAAACACAAACAAACGTATACAACATCAGTAGCACCAAAAATTACTTTAGTTCACGCACCGGTACACGGTGACTGAAATGTATCCATAGACTATCTATTTAGTCTAAAAACCACCGGTCAGAGAGAGACAACGAGTGCACAGCAACATATGATATAAGGAGGAGATGCGGACCTGCATAATGCACGTTTGGCACCCACTCTGCTCTTCGATGAGCGTAGACCAGCACCCGCCGCGGCTAGTAGTCATCGACCGGCTTGTACAGCCGCTGAAAAACGCCCCTTTCCCCCTCCTTCGGTCTTCAATCGGCACCAGCGTCGCGCATTCTTCAGTAGTCGACGCGGCCAGGATACCTGTGACTGCGTTTATTGTGTTATTCGCGAACAAAATGCAAAGGCACTTGGTCCGTCATATCAGATGACGGCGGAGGCAATTCGGATCTTTATATTTTCTCGCGATCTTGATGGATCGCATGCCTCACCGATCTGTGTTGGTTGGCAGCAGCTGCAACCGACCGATACATGCATTTCCGGGACGCCGTGCGACCGTACCTGAGCCCAGAATAACCGCGAGTACCACCGCGTTGCTTGGCACAACACCACGCTGCACTTTCCGGCTGTGGTACATGTTGAATCGAGATGAATCCAACAGCAACATGTGCGCTGCCGTACGGTTCGGAGCTTTGTAGCACGGACTTGTATCGACTAACGGTGGCACAGCGCACGAGTGCTATCGGACTTGTTGAGGCCAAGTGATATGGCCCTTACCAATTATAACGGGGGGAGTTAGGAGAGAGGAGAGAAAGGGAGGGAGTTAGGGAGTCCAGAGAGCGCGATGCGCGACGTGCGAGCACGCGGTGGGATTCATGTGTAACGGGACGAAGAGCTAGCGTGAATGCGCCGCATCTCCGTAATCTCCGTAATCCGTTTTCCGTAGACTATCCGTCCTGCAGACACCTAACTGCTGCGTAAATAGTTCACGTTTTCTTCGTTCGCGGTCACAGCATTAGTAAGCCCGATACATGTTCCGCTATCCACCGATGTTTAGGGCAGTAAAATCACGACTTGAAGAAATGCAGTGGCCGTGTCATTTGTGTGCTACGGATGATACCCGGTGCCTCCACAACGAAGAAGAGAGAGGCTGCCGGACTGTTGGCACCGAAAACCGAACATCGATCATATCCCGCATGACGTATTGTTGTTGTTGTTAGTGGTTGTTGTTGTCTTCACATTAAAAACCGTTCCGATCTCTCTCTACCCAGTACCTTCGTATGTCCGTACTGATCCAACAATCGACGCGGTCGATTCCCGTGGTCACAGGTTAACTTACCCTAAAGGTACACTCAAATAAACTGGCCCCGAGGGGTTCGCAAGTCAATAGAAATCAACGACACATGTGTGGAATATTTTCCGAAGAAATGATTGGCAGAGGGGAGTAAACCCGGTGACGTGGCCACCGTAATGTCGAAAATTCGAACCAATTGGCTGCTCGCCAGTGGCGCATCCATGGTCAGTCGTGGTAGACGCTCAACAGAGCAGTCTAATGATTCTTTCGGACGCACCCCGGGCACCGACAACGCATCCGTTTATATTCACACCGGTCGATTCCTTTAAGCCACGTAGCCGCGTAGGCCAACATGGGAAAACAACCTGAAAATAGTTGTCGTACAGACCCGCCCTGTGGCGGTGGGGTAGTATGGCACCCTTTGAGCTGGCGCTTGTGGGTTCGGGGTTCGGTGCTTTCCCCAGCATTTTTCGCCCTCACAAACGCGAGTGATGAATGGTGTGCGCACATCTCTCCGTCTTGTGCACGCACCCCGCAACCAAAATATACAACGGTTAGTTGTTGTTCGGTTGACTAACTAACGTTACAAATTAAACGCGCACTACGGCATTGATTGGACAAAAGGCTTGTGGAGGAAAAAAAAGAAAATTGAAAGATTGCAGACAATGACTGGACGTCGAGAGGTGAGGTCATCGACACATGCCTTTACTTAGCATGCATCAGAGCAAACCGACAGAACCTTATATTTGACTCCCCGGCCGACTTGAACACACAGTTAGTTCTCCATCCCCCACAACATTTGAAAAAGGACTTCCAAACGGAGAAACAGCGAGCAACAGTAGTAGTTGTGTGCGCACAGCTCTATTATTGGCCGTCGGAGGGGCCTAATTTCCTGGCCGATATATCGTCGCTGTGTGCCACAAAACAAAAGCATCTAGCGGTCGGACGTGCCCCAGCGACGAAAGAGTCTCATCCAATACAGTAATACACATCAGCCGTACAACGTACGTGCTCCCGATAAAAGTGGCAACAACATCATCGTGGGTCGAGCTACCCTGAGCTCGAGTAGAGACCCACTCGCGCGAACAAAACCATCCAGCAGGTGGGGCTCGAGGGTTGGGAGGGTATCCCAAGTCCAAACCTTGCGGCAAACAATGAATCGGCCACTTCACGTTGCAACGAGAGTCGAACTGACGCTGTACAGGTAATGTCTGACTGAAAGTTTCGACCTGTGGTTGGTTGTCGACAACATCTCAATGCAGACAAGGGCAAAAAAACGAGAGGCTCGATTTTTCCGATACGGCAAGGACGGCATTAAATAACATATCGGCGATCGTACACACAGATGGACCAGGTGTACCCTCAAGGTCGTGCTTACTGCTACGTCTCATCGTGTGCACAGGAATGAAAACCAACAGTCACAATTCTCGCGTATGGCGCGCAACACAATGAACAGACACACAGGCCGCCGTTAGCATGCCACAAGGCAAACCAATCGGAGATCGTAGGCCAAAACCAACAACCAAGATTGCGCCCAACACCGGGGAGAGGGTGGCCGAGCCAGAGACGCCCCCCCGTCCCCCTCGGTGTTTGCCATCGGGATTGGGTTTTCGTCGCTTGGCAACGACGTTGTAAAACAAGCCAATTCACTTCGTGAACTCGGCAACCAGGTTACCTTTTGTTTTTTTTACCTCTTTTTTTTGGCGGTAACCATAATGGTGGTCGAGTAGATCATGTTGTGCGGGGTGGAGAACCCTCGCTCCGCGCAAGGGGGATGATCGCACCACGTTGTGTTAAAATGGTCAAGCACCCTCGAGGCAGT